TTGTTTCTCGTCTAGTTGGGCATTTATGCACTGTAATTTTAGCTGTATACAATTTAGGCACCCTATCTGAGGAACATAGCGGGAACACAATGCCAAAATGGGGCAGCATGATACCCTACTTAAAGATCAAGGCCCTCAGAAAAACATACACTATCTGGTGGCAGATACATTTCTAGCCTATTTATGGGATTACCCTCCCCCCCTCGGGTTTCAAAGACAGGTGAACATATAAGCTGTCGCTACCTGCTAATGGACACTTTAATACCGACCGATTAAGAAGAAAGTGCTACTTTTGTTTAGCGAGACTCGGTTGATGTTAGGTCGAGGAAAATTGCTTTTCTAGCGGAAACACTCTTTTGTGAACAGCAATTCGAAATACGATAAAAAGCCGACAAGCATCTCCAAAGACTTCGCTCAAAAACGAAAAGATAATTTTTTTTGTTGGTGGTTGGAGAAAAGAGGAGAAGAAATTCTTTTCCCCCCATAAATTTCGTCTACAGGTTTCTTTTAACGCGTAAAAATCCAAACATTTATATATTTTGTTTGCGAATTTAAAGAAATACGTGTAGATTGTTATCCTGCAAAACATAAATAAATATTTTTTTTAAAAAAGAAGAAAGTCCGCCAAGCGATGGGAAACGAAATACTTTATGAGCCTGGCCTAAGCAAAGCACTTGAAAAACAACTTAATTCCGTGTGGGAAAAGGACAGCCAAGCAGTCAAGCTGTCGTTCCCTGTAAATAAGCCTTAATAGTAGCCTGTTAATTAAAAAAAGAGCTACTTTTGTTTCACGAGATGTCAAGACACGTCGAGGAAAATTTGTTTCTCAGTGGAACCACGCTGCTGGGAGCAGTAATTTAAAATACTGACTTTGGTCTCCAGTTTCCTTTTTCTGCGCAAAAATCCATACAGTCATGTATATTTTTCGTCAGCGAATTTAAAGCAATATGCATAGTTTCTTTTCCTTCTTACTAATATACAACATAATTTAAAATTCTTTTCAATGAAAATGAGCGAAAAACGTTTGAACATTAAATTTGCATGTCGCCGTGGTCTCATTTTTAACATACAAACGTTGCATTAAATAATTTTTTAAACATTTTCGCAATGTTTATTCTTAGATACTAGGTACTTAAATTTAAGCTGATTTAAAGAAATGCCCGAAGAATGTAGACAAGGCGCTCTTAAATGTGATCGCTTGGAGTAATTTTCAGTTTTCCTTATAGATACTTTTGCATGTCCAAATTATTAGAAAATTATGATATCATGATTATTGCAAATTTTAATAAATTTGCTGGGGCAAGTATTGTTTTGTAGGTTGGAACGCGAGCGGTTTATCCAATTTATTTGTTGTAATACTAACTAAAATAGAATTAATAAATTTCTCTGGATCAGCAGGTGCACTGTTCACTTATCTGCCACAAAAGACAAGATAACTTTACAAGATAAAGAAATTCTGGAATAACAATTAATTAATATCACAGAAAATCACCTTGAGAGGAAAATGCTACCTGCGTGAAATCGACTCAAACTGCAGCATGTGAAAAATTCCTAATGCAAAAAAACCGGTTCAGTGTCTTGTTATTCCAATACATTTTGTTTACGAATTCTGCTCATCTCACCTTCAAGTTACATGTCAGCCGATTTAGTTATCGTAATTGTTTAGTCATTGCAAACTTTTGCCTAAGGGACTGGTTCCTATACAAAAACCGGATCTTCGTTGTGCTGTAATGATTTTTTAACATTTTATCGTCTTCTTTAAACGTAGCATGCCAGTCAACTTATGTTGTATAGGGTCACATCATTGTTGTTATTGTTATTGCTCTCACCGTTAATCTGTCCACAACCACCATGTTGTTGCTGTTCTTGTATTATCGTCTTTTCGCAAATGGACATTCATCGGACACAAATCTTTTCTGATAATCTACCAACAAAATTCCCTTTTTACAATTAAATGTTTTATCTTTCACTTTAATCTCCACATAATTTTGATCAATTCAGTAAGCGGCTTAATCCGCAACAATTGATCTGTCTTCATTGGTGATTTTCCATTGGATTTGATAACATTTTCTGCGGCCAAGCCAATGAAAAATAGTCATTTAATGGGCGGAAACGTTGGAACCCAGGAAATAGGATGAAGAACCGATTGACTGATACTCAGATCCAGATAATCTTTGGCCAAGAAATGTACGCCATGAAAGGGTGTAGCAAACTGACAAACTTTGAACCTCATTCCTTTTCTCATTCTTGTCTTTTTTTGGATACATACTGTTCACTACAGTAAATTGGTCGGTCGGGCCAGAAAAAGATTAAGGAAGGAAGAAAATAAAAAAGATATAAGAAAATACAGAAAGAAAAGAAACCAAATTGTAAAGAATTAATAACAAGGCATGCGGATCGTGCGGCAAATGCTGAACGACGACGAGGCTATTAATTTCATATGACCCAAATTTAAACACTTAGAAAAGTAAGTTCCGTCTCGGAAAATACTCTTTTCTGAAAGCCCGTGGGATACTCCCATAAATTTCAGTTAGCTGTGTGCCGCTTAGGGTCTAAAACCCTGTCCCTATTTAAGGATGAGAGAAACGAAAATTAAAAATTGCTACCTTATTTAGGGGCTAATCCCAAAAAATGACACCCTCTTGAAGGGCGAATAGGATAAGAATTTAATAGATTTAACAACATCACCCCAACCTCCATTAGGTCGCCCTCCTAATACTCCAACGGATAACTCAGTTTTACAGATTTGTCTCTCGTCTAGTTTGGCATCAACTTGAATTTTAGCTGATACAATTTAGGCACCCTATCTGAGGAACACATCGGGAACACAATGCCAAAATGGGGCAGATTGATACCTTATTTAAAGATCGAGGTCCCCATACATACATGCATACATGCTTTATTAACGTGACTAACACTTAGCTACAAAGTTAGTTTACAGGTCAGTCTCAAACTAAAAACAAGCCTAAAAACTATATAAAAGTGTTTAAAATGATATATAAAATTATAAAATTGTTAAAACTATGTACTAAGAAAACCACTGCAGGTTAAATACAACTATATAAAAGTGTTTAAGATGACATAGTACATGGAAATTGCAATAAGATTATAGACACTATATATTCTTAAATACTAAGAAAAACTAAGGTAAATTGCGAAAGGGACTATAAACTTGCAAGGTCGAGCTGCTTGAGTCCACGTTTAAAACTGCCGTAACTATCAATATTTCTGAAATTATTTGGAATAGTATTCCATAGTCGAGAAGACTGGTATCTCCATGACTTGATCCCATACTTTGTTGAATTTACTTTTGGTAATTGTAAAATAGCATCAGCACGTAAATTATAATTAGAAGTACGTGCCGTGAATAACTCGGAAATACTTGTAGGTACGTTTCCATTCTTAATTGCTCCAAACACTGTATTTAACGTACACTAGAAAAACATACACTATCTGGCGGCGGATACATTTCTAGCCCATTTATGGGATTACCTCCCCCCCCGGGTTTCAAAGACAGGTGAACATATAAGCTGTCGCTTCCTGCTAATGGACACTATAATACCGACCGATTAAGAAGAAAGAGCTTCTTTTGTTTAGCGAGACTCGGTTGATGTTAAGAGAGGTCGACAAGGAAAATTTCTTTTCTAGCGGAAACACTCTTTTGTGAACAGCAATTCGAAATACGATAAAAAGCCGACAAGCATCTCCAAAGACTTCCCTTAATGATGACAAGATATTTTTTTGTTAGTCAGTCCACGAAAAGAGGAGAAGCAAATTCTGTTTTCTGATTTTTTGTTTTCAGGTTCCTTTTAGCCCGTAAAAATCCAAATATTTATATTTTTTTTCAGGTTGCGAAATATTTTAAAGAAATATTGTGTAGATTGTTATCCTGTTCAGAAATGGGACGTTCTTAAACTCTATTAAAATTAGCAAAGAAATCAAAATTAGTAAAATAATACAACCCAATTTTCAGTTGTCCTTATAAAGACTTTTGCATTTTCAAATTATTAGAAAATTATTGCAGATTTTTATATTTTTTTACGTTTCCTGGGTTGGAACGCGATGGTTATCTGACTTATTTATCTGAATAATAAATAAAAGAAACTTAATAATTTATGTGGATCAGCAGGTGCACTATTCACTTATCTGCCACAAAAGACAAGATAACTTTACAAGATAAGGAAATTCTGGAATAATAATTAATTGATATCATAGAAAATCACCTCGAGAGGAAAATGCTACCTGTCGTGAAATCGGCACAAACTCCACCGTGTGAACCCCCCCCCCCCCCCCCCCCCCACAAAAAAAGACACCGGCAACAGAGCAACAGTAACACACAAACTGAAAACCTACGACAACTAAGGAGATTCTTTAGCAAAACAAACCAGTTTATTAGTTGCTCATTTAAGAAGCAGAAGCATAATTTACTTGACGGCAATTGCAGGCGATGCACGAAACTTTCATTTGTGGTAAATAAAATCGTCATTAACTTTAGGATATTGTAGCTAAACTTTTATCAGTAACGTAGTTAAATTACGAAGAATTATTTGGCCAATATATAGTTGATATCAAGGATAGTTCGTAGTATTGCGATCTTAGTTCACCGATGACGCCGTCGTTAGATTTATTTGTTACGATAGTTTGCTTTTCCATGATCGTACGTAAACGGAAATAATTCCTTTACAGCACCTTGCTATTCCAATATAACTGTATGACGACCTCTGCTCATGTAACCTTCAAGTTGCATGTCAGCCGATTTAGTTATCGTAATTGCGTAGTCATGGCAAACGTTTGCTTAGGGGAAATGGTTCCTATACAAAAACTGGATATTCTTTGTGCTGAAGTGATTTTTTGACATTTTATTGTCTGTTTTAAACGTAGCATGCCAGTTACCTTATGGTGTATGGGGTCACATTAATATAATGTTGTCGCCTTGTCATTATCGCTGTCACCGATGTCGTTACCAATATTGCTCTCACGGTTAATCTGTTACAGCGACCATGTTGTTGCTGTTCTTGTATCTTCGTCTTCATTGCTATTTCCTTGTTAGTATCGTTGTCACCTATGTTGTTATCGTTATTGCTCTCACCGTTAATCTGTTCACAGCGACCATGTTGTTGCTGTTCTTGTATCATCGTCTCCATAGCTATTTCCTTGTTAGTATCGTTGTCACCGATGTTATTACTGTTATTGCTCTCACTGTTAATCTGTTCACAGCCACCACGTTGTTGTTGTTGTTTTATTTTCCTCATTCCTACTTCTCCATTAATCCCTGGTTCATGCGTTACTCCATTGTTCTTTGTTCCAAATGTTCGTTTTTTAGTGTTCTCAGTTTGTACAGTTGTTTTTCTGCAGAGTATTTCAATAAAAGCCACGCGAAACTCTCTTATTCTGATGCAGTAAATAACTGGGTTTATGAGCGAGTTAAGAATGACTGCAAAAACTGCCAACATCAGACTACTATATGCTACATTTAATGACTGGATGATAGAATTTGTTATGAGCATTCGAACAAAAAACGCAGGTGTATATGTCAATACTAAGAAAAAGAGTATAGTTGTTATGTGCTGCAAAGCTTTCTTGTCTTTAAGGAATTTTTGCCTGTTTTCTGTTGAAACCTGGTGGGCGGCTATATATTTTCTATGTCATTTAGTTTCCTGGAAAATCACAATTTGACAGAAGAGTATGATGCCCATACATGAGCCTGATATCAAATTGGTAATTTTTAAGTAAATATCCCTTCCTAGAAAAAGGAGAAGTAATGGGACAATGAAAGAAACAAACCACACGAAAACGGAGCAACAGAGTAAACGTCTTATGGTGACTAATGTTGTGTACTTTAGCGAGTGCATTATAGCAATGTCTCTTTCCATGTTCATAAGTGTTAAGTGAAGAATTGAAGCCATGCCTAACACTCTAACAACGTTTGTTGACGTTGCTAAAAGCGGGCAGTACGCACTTGATCCTTCTCCCTGTAGCAATACTGCCAGTCCTACGGTGAAAAAGGGCTGTCCAATCACCCCCATCACACAGTCGGTTGTCGCCAAGCAAGCGAGGGCAATGTTGCTCATGGTTTTCAGGCGTAGTTTGGTTTTCACGGCGAATATGACCAGTGCGTTTGAGATGCTTGTTATGGGCAAACAAATTAGGTTTATGATTATAAGATACACGATTACCGTATATGCCTCTGTGGTACTTTCATTTAGTGTCCCGCCCAAAAAAGTAACAAATTCGCATTCTGATGCTATTTCTTCGGTCTGAAAGTCCGCGCTTCGGTTCATCTTCCTTGTTTTGCTTTACTTTCGTTCCTCGCCGGGACAGGAGCAACTCTTCGTCTAACGTTTGATACGTTTTAGCGTATAGGTCACTCAGCCTGGTTTTCCTCTACAATGCTTTAGATGACCTAGATGTAACTGCGTGTGAAACTTGCTTCAATTAAGGAAACTATCTGCTGTGAACAACAGTTTATGAAGTATTTGACAAAAGGTGCTAAGCATATAAGCTGGCACTGTGTCGTCAACTTAACTGAGTATTTTTTTTAAATGGGCTTTATAACTGACGTAAATCTTTTTTGGTTATTGACAAAATTTTCACAATTGCAATAATTTGCTTTTCCTGTCATTTTATTAATTAAGTGCTCTTAGAGATAACATACGCGTCAATGTACAACAATTGCTTTTTCCTTTTTTTTCCACTGGATTTGAGAACATTTTGTAGTTCTTCTTGACAATCAAAAGACATTCAGGTGATGGGCAGAAACGTTTTAAAAGCAGGAAATAATGCGTAAAACCGATTGGCTGATGTTTCAGCAAAGATTGAGACAAAATTGTACCTCTTATCACGATGCGCAAAAACTTCGGCTCTCTTCACACATATCCAGATATTTTTTTAAAACGGGCGTTTTTTCTCTCCGTTGAAGCTACTCCTTTTGAATGTAGTTTAGTTTGAATTAAGATCGGCGTCTGAATTAATTCATCCGGTCAGGGTGTAAATAAATTGGGTCGGCCTTAATTCGAATTAGGTTCGTGTCATAAAATGTTCGGCGTCTGAACCCGGCCTAAGAATTTGAGAAGCCACTGAACGTATCTTCAGTTCCGTTTGGAGTGCCATGAAAGGGAATCTTGTTTCACTGTTAGTGAATGGACATCTCCTCCTACGCGTGAGAATTCATAGAATTTAGGTTCAACCATGAACGTACGCTGCTACTACATTTGCGAAATTACTTTCTTCGTGGCGCGCTTACGTTTAGATTTTAGGGGGCCTGAGCTATACGAAGATGACGAAGATATTTAGACCTGGTAACGAAGGTGGCAAAAAGGTGTTTTTCTAGAACTGTATAAAGAAGAAGAAAGTTCACTGACGTCCCACACAAAACGTGAAATTAGGCACTTTCACGTCGTGGACGCGCAATGGCGGCAAAGAAATGTAAAAAAGAGTGGTGTAAGTGCTATAATTTGTTTTGCTAACTGCGGCCGTTGCCATTTCTCAGGAAAGGTGGTTTGGATTAGGCTTGCTCCATGCCTGGCTCTCTTATCGTATTCGCACGGGACTTAAACTATGCCAATACGCACATAGGCGCAGCACACTCTGATGTTCCTTTTTAGTTTGTGACCGGAGTGCATTCAAGTCAATATACTTGACAATCTAATAGCTGTCTGTAAAAAGATAAAATCTATCAATAATAAGCGAATAAATAATCAAAAAAATCTTTATTGTAACTGCACCTTTCTCACTCGCTGTTTGTCCACCGTGTGCTAAATAAGATAAACAGTTTTTTTTTCTGTTGAAGAAGCAATTGTAATGATCGTTTGTAACTTTCAACTCAACAGGAGACAAACACTCAGAGTGTCATGTATGATGTGCTAAGTGTTTCAAGAGGCCTCGTTTACTCGACCGTCAAATACCTGTTCAGAGCACCGTCGGGAACTTTCTATATTGGCCAGACTACAATACAAAAGGTAGCATATTTTATATCTATCGTCTCTTTATTCTCTACCAGAGCGGTTGTTGGTATCGATACTAATAAAGAGTTTGTTCGATTATTTTAAAACGCTAGAATTGGTCTTTTTAGATTCAAGGGGATTTGAGAGGTTTCTCTACAGAAGTACGGCAATGTTCAAAGCATTCTTCTTTGAAGAGCAGTTTGAGTTCTTTCTTCCCAGTGTTCTTTACCGTGGAAGGAATTTTGGCTGTTTGTGAAGAGGTACGTGCAATACGCGTGTCGAGAATAGAATGCACGCCGGAGAGAGAGAGAATCCTTGTTGTTGTTGTTGTTGTTGTTGTTTTCCAATGCTGTCTGTCATAGAGAGAGTTAAATCATGAAGGAAAATTGCGGGATCGATTTTCGAAGGACCACTACACAGCTATCTAAGTTGTAACTTTAATGTAATCGCCTCGATGCTTTAGGATCTCAATCGGTAGCTGCTAAACACAACATAACATGGCGTTTCGCAGCTCGCAACAGACAGCATGCGGTATCGTAGGTTGTCACATACCTTTTCTGGTAAACTTTAACTTTTAGTTTAATCAGTCGTCCGATAAGACATCCGAGTATTGACATATTTCAGGGGCACCCAACGAGGAATATAGTTCAAAACCACTTAAACATCGCATTGTTGAACCTATTTTAGTATTTGAATGGTAGATATAGGCATATTTTTATCCCCTTAAAATTTTTCATCTGTTCGGATTCCTAGCTGAAAGACTAGTGATCCGAAAATTATAGGGATCAAAACTTACCTTTTCGAAAATTTCAGCCAGAAAAAAGGCTCCCGAAAATCCTAGGAGAGGCAGGCAAGCAAGAAATTTTACAACAAATGTTCCGAAAATTCCAGATCTCAAGTCGTCTTCCTAACAGATATTTTCCGAAAATTCACGTTGGGTGCCCCTGATATTTTATCTTTCTCCAGGCTATTACGAACAAAACGTCATCAAGCAAGACAATAAAAATCTCATCCGATATTGTGATTAAACTTGGACCTGATTTATTGGAGCTGATGGGAATGATTGTTCGTGTGTCACAAAGAAGGAAGAAACGGAAATCAGAGCCGGAGTTTGGGCAAGAAAGTGAAAGCAATTGTCACCACATCCTTCTCCAGTTTCCAGTGTTGATCGATTCGCTTGCTTCTCTACTTCATATATACTCTGTTTCAGAGCAGTCGAGGTATTCAACGTCTCCATTCGCACAAGTCCCTTACAGCGCAATTATTAATAAAAGCTCTCCGCATCTCATTTCGGTCCAGTTCGAGTAAGAATCGTTCGGCTATTGGCAGTCGTGAATTCTTGTCTCTCCATTTCACGTTTGCCTTCTTACGCTGCAGCGCTTCTCTTCCCCTCCGTCCCCTTCCTCCTTTACCCTGTCCTTTTGCACTTCCAGTGCCCTCAAGTGCGGTCCCATCAGTCTCCGTCTCTTATTTAACGAGCGTGAAAGGGACTGTCGCGAAAAGTATGCAATTTAGTATTTTTTGACATCTTCTACCAGGGTTCTATTTAGGGTATTTGAAGGGTAGAAGCTCCCCCCGCCCACAGAAAAAAAATTCGTTATCATTACATTATATAAGTAACTATATCGGAAAAGTCATTCAGACGCGACGAGCTCAGTGCCCATGAAGTAAGTATTCCCTCTCTAAGGACACTATATGACATGGAACATGATCATGACTAAAAAAAATAAAATACCACTGTAACATTTCTCGAAATTGTATATCAAAATGCACCAGATTGTATCTCAGCGCATATTCATTACAAAACATTTCCGGGGGAACATGCCCCCGGATCCCCCTAGGAAGCTCGTGGCCTTCGGCCTTTCTGGACTTCTCCCCCAAACGATAAATCCTAGGTAGAACCCTGTCTCTGTGTGCTGTTTCAGATGTTTCACGGCGGTGAAGCATGTAACGCGGGCGTCTCGAGCGTTCCCGTCAAATTTGGTAAAAGTTCTTGAAAGAAACAGTTAAGGAGGAATTATTTAGGTTATAAATTCATAAACTAGTAATATAGTGTCTTCGTTCTTGTGACCTGCGGCTATAGAATACACATCAAAAAGAGTGTGTTTGTTCTTGTAACCTGTGGCCATAGAATACATAAAGCGATTTTCGTATGGCCTTGAACTAATGAAAACGCCCGAACAAAACAGGTACAGCAAACGAACGGAAAGAGAGCGATTTGATCGGTTTATCGAACGGACACAAACGAGCGTGGCTTTCAGTTGGTTCAGCGAATGCTCGGGTTAAAAAGCGTCATGCTCGAGGACTTTCTAGAAATCACCCGATACTTCGCTTTGACGTCATACTGCAACACGATTGGCCAATCGAACGATGCCCTCTCCGTATTAGGGTTTTCTTTGACGTGAAAACGAAGAGGCGATGTTTTGATCTTTTCATCCATTTGCTGATAAAACAAACAATGAACACTTACCGAAACCATTTTTCAAGGTCAAACGAAAATCGCTCTATCAAACAGTATTCGTATAATGTGACTTGCGAGGCTGTCATCCCTTAGTTTACTCCTTCAACTTGGCTGCTTTGACGTCACAAGGAACAAAGTCTATTTTTAGAAACAAATTATTATGTTGACTCAAGTCATTTCTGCTTTCATGGTCAGAAAACTGACGCTTGTAAACGAGAGGTACAAGCTTTGCCAGTGGCAAAAAGTGTTCGACGTAATGTTGACACTTGTAATCCAACGTGTCTTTGAGAAGGATGTTTCTTCATTTCCTCTTTTTGATAAGGTAGGCAAGATGTTGATGCTGGTATGGGGAGAGAGATCACGAATGTTGCTAGTGTGGTTAGGACCCTCCCACACCCCCCCCCCCCCAAAAAAATAGCCAAATGTTGGAATTTCGACCACTGCAGCTACTTTTGCCGCCCGTCATCATTGCGCAACTTGCTTGAAAATTTAAAGGAAAATGAACGAACAAGATACAGGAACCAAACATTCGCAATATTTACGGCCGAAATCATTACAGGCAAACCCCGTTTACCAGAGGGACGGGGAAGCAACAGGGCGTGTACCTTTAGCCAATCAGTTCCAGAATTATTTCAATCCTATGTTTTATTTGCCAGAAAATGTTTTCTGGCCAAGAGAAGGAAGAAATCCAAATGCTTCTCTAACTATACTGGGTTAGACTAAGCGCCAGGGAGCTCTCCCATTCTTTCTGTAAATGTAGTAATGATAATGGCCGGTCCCGATCAGCTGCCCCTCGGTTCTCCAAGGATGGGAACATCTTAAGCCCCCATCGATCTTTAGCGTAATATCCTCCTTGCGGGCTTTCAAGTACATTGTACGTCTGTGCTACAGCAATTGTGTACTACTGGGGAGGGCAGGGTTGAAATGTACAGCTTTAAAACAGTTTACACATGTTTGAATTCCCCCTCCGCCCCTTATCTTTTCAATGATTGTGCCGGTAAAAGGATGAGTAAACGTTGCTTCTTACCAGGATGGATCACGTTCTTCCTGTCTTCGCTTTCTTAAAGTCGTCTGTCAGTCTTGCACAAAACTCCATCTGAAGTTACCCGGAGATTTTCACACCCGGCTATTGGCATCGACAGTTCATTTCTTAAAAACACTTCAACAAGAAAGAGATCATTCTACTGATGCTCCAGCGAATGGATCTCTTGGAAAGGTAAAAACCACCTTAAGGGAAGAGAGCAGAGGTCCTGAAAGCGGGGATATATGTGAGGAAGGGTATCGTCTCGTGGTTTCCTTGCTTGAGGGATGTGATTCTGTTTTGCTTTCCGAGCTACTTGAAGGATCATGTAGCGAGATTGTAAGTAACTGTAATTGAAATTTGTTTTTTATTGTGATTCGTTCACCCACAAAGCCCTCCGGAGCTCTTTTATAACTCTTTTAACGTTTCCGAGCGTTCCAGATTGAATTGGAATTTGGGAGTGTTGGTTTTTGAGGAGAGGGAAATGCCGGAGTTTGCTATATCATAATGGGCTTGTATATAGATCTCTTTTGTCATTATCATCATCATCTCCTCCTCATCATCATCATCAACATCATTGCCATCATCTTCATCTTTATTTTCTTCTTCTTCTTCTTCTTCTTCTTCTTCTCCTCCTCCTCCTCCTCCTCCTCCTCCTCCTCATCATCATCATCATCACCGTCATTATTATTATTTTCCGTAGACAAAGCAAAACATCTCAGACGACTCTCTGGACCGACTTTTCGTAACCCTTAATGTTTGGCTCCGTCTCTTAAATGGACCTTTCGCCAAGAACAAAAAGGAAGAGCTCCGTCCGAAACTACCAAAGGTTAGTTTCCACAGACGTCGAGTCTAAAGTTGATATTTACAAATTTTTCTTTAACATGCTGGGGAACCTTTCCTTTTCCAGGGAGAAATGTGCGATCACAAAATAACGTAATACAAAACATTGAAAAGACCAAAGTAAGGTACAGGGTAAAGAAACCTCATCCGACTAACAAACCTGAGGACGACGGTGCACTCATTTCATATACATATTAAGAAAGCATGCTTTGGTGTCTACACTTAATGTTTAAATTTCTTAAACTTAAAATTAACTTTGAGAGTAACCCCTTCGCTTTTTCAACAGGTTCTGTTTGCACTGCAGTTCCTACTTCAAGAGTTGACAGCTGACGACAGAATTCTCCACATCGCTACGGATATCATGGTCAAAATACTTTCCCTTGGAAAGGTTAGTCCAGATTCCGAATGTATTTTTTGTTCTTGTGGTCATTGTCATTTTTGTTGGTGTCTTCCTTCCTTGCATTTATAGCGGACCACCATGGGTAACCGAATCTACCAATACCAAAAAACTTCTTACTATCATTTGTCACTCACTGTTCCACTTTAACAGTTCCACCATTACTGTTCCCACATTACTGTTCCACCATTACCTTTCCACCTCACTGTTCTCCCATTACTGTTCCACCTCACAGCTCCACTTTGACTGTTCCACCATTACTGTTCAACTACCACTGTTCCACTTTAACTGTTCAACCATCACTGCACCACCATTACTGTTCCACCTCACTGTTCCACTTTGACAGTTCCACCATTACTGTTCCACCATCACTATTCCACCTTTACTATTCCACCTAATTGTTCTACCATGACTGTTCCACCATTAATGTTCCCTTATCACTGTTCCAGTTTAAATGTTCAACCGTCACTGCCCCAACATTACTGTTCCACCTCACTGTTCCACTTTAACTGTTCCACTACTACTGTTCCACCATTACTGTTCCACCATCATTATTTCACCATTAACATTCCACCATCACAGTTCCACTTTGACTGTTCCACTTCACTGTTCCACCTTGACTGTTCCACCATTACTGTCCCACTTTCACTGTTCCACCATTACTGTTCCACCTTCACTGCTCCACCGTTAATGTTCCACATCACTGTTTCACCTTGACTGTTCCACCATTACTCTTCCACTTCACTGTTCCACCTTCACTGTTCCACCATTACTGTTCCACTTCACTCTTATACCTTCAATATTCCACTATTACTGTTCCACTTCACTGTTCCACCTTGATGGTTCAACCATTAATGTTCCACTTCACTGTTCCACTTTCATTGCTCAACCATTACTGTTCCACTTCACTGCTCCGCCTTGACTGTTCCACCATTACTGTTCCACTTCACTAATCCACTTTGACTGTTCCACTATTACTGTTCCACTTCACTGTTCCACCTTGACTGTTCCACCATCACTGTTTCACTTCACTGTTCCACCTTGACTGTTCCACCGTTAATGTTCCACTTCACTGTTCCGCCTTCACTGTTCCACCATTACTGTTCCACTTCACTCCTATACCTTCAATGTTCCACTATTACTGTTCCACTTCACTGTTCCACCTTCATGGTTCAACCATCAATGTTCCACTTCACTGTTCCACTTTCATTGCTCAACCATTACTGTTCCACTTCACTGGTCCACCTTGACTGTTCCACCATTACTGTTCCACTTCACTGGTCCACCTTGACTGTTCCGCTATTACTGTTCCACTTCACTGTTCCACCTTGACTGTTCCACCTTGACTGTTCCGTTAATGTTCCACTTCACTGTTCCGCCTTGACTGTTCCACCATTACTGTTCCACCTTGACTGTTCTACCGTTACTGTTCCACTTCACTGATCCACCTTGACTGTTCCACCATTACTGTTCCACTTCACTCTTCCACCTTGACTGTTCCACCATTACTGTTCCACTTCACTGTTCCACCTTGACTGTTCTACCATTACTGTCCCACTTCACTGATCCACCTTGACTGTTCCACTATTACTGTTCCACTTCACTGTTCCACCTTGACTGTTCCACCATTAATGTTCCACTTCACTGTTCCGCCTTCACTGTTCCACGTCACTGTTCCACCCTGACTCTTCTACCGTTACTGTTCCACTTCACTGATCCACCTTGACTGTTCCACGTCACTGTTCCACCTTGCCTCTTCCACCGTTACTGTTCCACTTCACTGATCCCCCTTGACTGTTCCACCACTACTGTTCCACTTCACTGTTCCACCTTAACTGTTGCACTATTACTGTTCCACTTCACTCTTCAACCTTGAGTGTTCTCCCATTACTGTTCCACTTCACTGTTCCACCTTGACTATTCCATTATTACTGTTCCACTTCACTGATCCACCTTGACTGCTCCGCTTTTACTGTTCCACTTCACTGTTCCACCTTGACTGTTTCACCATCACTGTTTAACTTCACTGTTCCACCTTGACTGTTCCACCGTTAATGTTCCACTTCACTGTTCCGCCTTGACTGTTCCACGTCACTGTTCCACCTTGACTGTTCTACCCTTACTGTTCCACTTCACTGTTCCACCTTGACTGTTCCACCATTACTATTCCACTTCACTGTTCCACCTTGACTGTTCCACCATTACTGTTCCACTTCACTGTTCCACCATTACTGTTCCACTTCACTGATCCACCTTGACTGTTCCGCTATTACTGTTCCACTTCACTGTTCCACCTTGACTGTTCCGTTAATGTTCCACTTCACTGTTCCGCCTTGACTGTTCCACCATTACTGTTCCACTTCACTGTTCCACCTTGACTATTCCACCGTTACTGTTCAACTTCACTGATCCACCTTGACTGTTCCACCATTACTGTTCCACTTCACTCTTCCACCTTGACTGTTTCACCATTACTGTTCCACTTCACTGGTCCACCTTGACTATTCCATTATTACTGTTCCACTTCACTGATCCACCTTGACTGCTCCGCTTTTACTGTTCCACTTCACTGTTCCACCTTGACTGTTCCACCATCACTGTTTCACTTCACTGTTCCACCTTGACTGTTCCACCGTTAATGTTCCACTTCACTGTTCCGCCTTCACTGTTCCACGTCACTGTTCCACCCTCACTGTTCTACCGTTGCTGTTCCACTTCACTGATCCACCTTGACTGTTCCACGTCACTGTTAGACCTTGCCTCTTCCACCGTTACTGTTCCACTTCACTGATCCACCTTGACTGGAGCACTATTACTGTTCAACTTCACTGTTCCACTTTGACTGTTCCACCGTTAATGTTCCACTTCACTGTTCCGCCTTGACTGTTCCACCGTTACTGTTTCACTTCACTGATCCACCTTGACTGTTCCACCATTACTGTTCCACCTCACTGTTCCACCTTGACTGTTCCACCATTACTGTTCCACTTCACTGTTCCACCTTGACTGTTCCACCTTGACTGTTCCGTTAATGTTCCACTTCACTGTTCCGCCTTGACTGTTCCACCATTACTGTTCCACCTTGACTGTTCCACCATTACTGTTCCACTTCACTCTTCAACCTTGAGTGTTCCACCCTTACTGTTCCACTTCACTGTTCCACCTTGACTGTTCCACCATTACTGTCCCACTTCACTGATCCACCTTGACTGTTCCACTATTACTGTTCCACTTCACTTTTCCACCTTGGCTGTTCCACCGTTACTATTTCACTTCACTGATCCACCTTGACTGTTCCACCATTACTGTTCCACCTCACTGTTCCACCTTGATTGTTCCACCATTACTGTTCCACTTCACTGTTCCACCTTTACTGTTCCACCATTACTGTTCCACTTTCATTGCTCAACCATTACTGTCCATTACTGTTCCGCCTTCACTGTTCCAAGTCAATGTTCCACCTTGACTGTTCCACCATTATTGTTCAACTTCACTTTTCCACCTTGACTATTCCACCATTACTGTTCCACCTCACTGTTCCACCTTGACTGTTCCACCATTACTGTTCCGCCTTGACTGTTCCACCTTGACTGTTCCACCATTACTGTTCCGCTTTCATTGCTCAACCATTACTGTCCATTACTGTTCCGCCTTGACTGTTCCACGTCACTGTTCCACCTTGACGGTTCCACCGTTACTGTTCCACTTCACTGATCCACCTTGACTGTTCCACCATTACTGTTCCACCTCACTGTTCCACCTTGACTGTTCCACCATTACTGTTCCACTTCACTGTTCCACTTTCATTGCTCAATCATTACTGTTCCACTTCACTGGTCCACCTTGACTGTTCCACCATTACTGTTCCACTTCACTGATCCACCTTCACTGTTCCGCTATTACTTTTCCACTTCACTGTTCCAACTTGACTGTTCCGTTAATGTTCCACTTCAATGTTCCGCCTTGACTGTTCCACCATTACTGTTCCACCTCACTGTTCCACCTTGACTGTTTAACCATTACTGTTCCACGTCACTGTTCCACCTTGACTGTTCCACCATTATTGTTCCACTTCACTTTTCCACCTTCAATGTTCCACTATTACTGTTCCACTTCACTGTTCCACCTTGACTGTTCCACCATTACTGTTCCACCTCACTGTTCCACCTTGATTGTTCCACCATTACTGTTCCACTTCACTGTTCCACCTTGACTGTTCCACCATTACTGTTCCACTTTCATTGCTCAACCATTACTGTCCATTACTGTTCCGCCTTGACTGTTCCACGTCACTGTTCCACCTTGACGATTCCGCCGTTACTGTTCCACTTCACTGATCCACCTTGACTGTTCCACCATTCTGTTCCACCTCACTGTTCCACCTTGACTGTTCCACCATTACTGTTCCACTTCACTGTTCCACTTTCATTGCTTAATCATTACTGTTCCACTTCACTATTCCACCTTGACGGTTCCACCGTTACTGTTCCACTTCACTGATCCACTTTACTGATCCACCTTGACTGTTCGACCATTACTGTTGCACCTCACTGTTCCACCTCACTGTTCCACCTTGACTGTTCCACCATTACTGTTCCACCTCACTGTTCCACCTTGACTGTTCCACCATTACTGTTCCACTTCACTGTTCCACTTTCATTGCTCAATCATTACTGTTCCACTTCACTGGTCCACCTTGACTGTTCCACCATTACTTTTCCACTTCACTGTTCCACCTTGACTGTTCCGTTAATGTTCCACTTCACTGTTCCGCCTTGACTGTTCCACCATTACTGTTCCACCTCACTGTTCCACCTTGACTGTTTAACCATTACTGTTCCACGTCACTGTTCCACCTTGACTGTTCCACCATTATTGTTCAAGTTCACTTTTCCACCTTTAATGTTCCACTATCACTGTTCCACTTCACTGTTCCACCTTGACTGTTCCACCATCACTGTTTCACTTCACTGTTTCACTTTGAATGTTCCACCGTTAATGTTCCACTTCACTGTTCCGCCTTGACTGTTCCACGTCACTGTTCCACCTTGACTGTTCCACCGTTACTGTTCCACTTCACTGATCCACCTTGACTGTTCCACCATTACTGTTCCACCTCACTGTTCCACCTTGCCTGTTCCACCATTACTGTTGCACTTCACTTTTCCACCTTGACTGTTCCACCATTACTGTTCCACTTTCATTGCTCATCCATTACTCTCCATTACTGTTCCGCCTTGACTGTTCCACGTCACTGTTCCACCTTGACGGTTCCACCGTCACGTGTCATGTTATGTTATATAACCTGTGTCATGTTATGTTATATGACATGTATCATGTTATGTTATATAACATGTATCATGTTATGTTATATAACATGTTTCATGTTATGTTATATAACATTTGTCATGTTATATTATATGTTATGTTATATAACATGTGTCATGTTATCTTACCTTTTATGTTATATAACATGTGTCATGTTATGTTATATAACACGTGTTATGTTATGTTAAATAACATGTGTCCTGTTATGTTATATAACATGTGTCATGTTGTGTTATATAACTTGTGTCATGTTATGTTATATATCACGTGTCATGTTATGTTATATGACATGTATCATGTTATGTTATATAACATGTATCATGTTATGTTATATAACATGTTTCATGTTATGTTATATAACATTTGTCATGTTATATTATATGTTATGTTATATAACATGTGTCATGTTATCTTACCTTTTATGTTATATAACATGTGTCATGTTATGTTATATAACACGTGTTATGTTATGTTAAATAACATGTGTCCTGTTATGTTATATAACATTTGTCATGTGTTATATAACATGTGTCATGTTATGTTATATATCACGTGTCATGTTATGTTATATGACATGTATCGTGTTATGTTATATAACATGTATCATGTTATGTTATATAACATGTTTCATGTTATGTTATATAACATTTGTCATGTTATATTATATGTTATGTTATATAACATGTGTCATGTTATCTTACCTTTTATGTTATATAACATGTGTCATGTTATGCTATATAACACGTGTTATGTTATGTTAAATAACATGTGTCCTGTTATGTTATATAACATGTGTCATGTTGTGTTATATAACATGTGTCATGTTATGTTATATAACACGTGTCTTGTTATGTTATATAACCTGTGTCATATATAGAGAATACTTCATGGAAAGTGCTGGCGTACGGTATTTACGCACGAGTTGTTGACGTATCAGAAATCGAACGAGTGAGCGCAGCGAACGAGTAAGATTTCTGATACAAAAACAACGAGTGCGTAAATACCCTACAAAGCACTTTCCATGTGGTATTGTGTTTATTATATACATACTGAGACATTCATCATTTTGGCGGCCTTTTTATTTTAAATCTTTCAAAAATGCTAAAATTTGCCGCTACACACTTACCGCAAAATGACAACGAAAACGAAGTACCAGCTTTTTAGTAAAAACGTTTGTTAAAAACATAAAGGACGGTAAGGATACGAGGTAATCCAAGAACTATAAGTTATCTTAACTGTTTGTTCTCAATACACAATTGAAAATGAGTGAATTTAAGGAAAATGGCCGGTTTGAATATTATATAAGCAAAGCTAAAATGAAAACCAAAGTCGCTCCGACAAAAAGCACAACAAAAGCTTACGTCTCGTTCTGTTTTCCCTTTCCGTTGTTGTTTTTTTGGCTCTCTACCGTTTTTTTCATCGACAGTGAAAGAAACGAAACTATTCCACTCCATTTCCGAAATGTTTTTCACTTTTTAGCGAGAAAAACTCTTTGAGTAAAACTTTTCTCGTTGAATGTGTGCGGCGGCGCTGCAAGCTGCAATTAAAAGCGGGGATTTTTGGCGCGAAACTCACACACCTCTGTGGCTTCTGATTGGACGTATCATTTTTCTCACACGTGAAAAAACATCGTTCGCGATTCTGATTGGACGTATCATTTTTTTCACGTGTGAAAACCATCGTTCGCTCATCTGATTGGCTAGAACTAATTTGCGTACGACAATTTACGACATAGCTTTTTGGTGGGTATTTCTCAGTATGTATATAATAATATGTTATATGATATGTATCATGTTATGTTATATAACATGTATCATGTTATGTTATATAACATGTTTCAAGTTATGTTATATAACATTTGTCATGTTATATTATATGTTATGTGGCATGTTATCTTACCTTTTATGTTATATAACATGTGTCATGTTATGTTATATAACACGTGTTATGTTGTGTTGTATGTTATGTTATATAAGATGTTTCATTTTATGTTATATAACATGTGTCATGTTGTTATATGTTGTGTTATATAACATTTGTCATGTTATCTTATATGTTATGTTATATAACATGTGTCATGTTGTGTTGTATGTTATGTTATATAAGATGTTTCAAGTTATGTTATATAACATGTGTCATGTTATATTATATAACATGTGACATATGTTATGTTATATAACATGTGTCATGTTATCTTATATGTTATGTTATACAACATGTGTCATGTTATGTTATATAACATGTGTCATATGTTATGTTATATAACATGTGTCATGTTATCTTATATGTTATGTTATATAACATGTGTCATGTTATGTTATATGTTATGTTATATAACATGTTTTAAGTTATGTTATATAACATTTAATAAACTCTTCCAATTGGCAGTGTTTTTTCGCATAAATGCTTAAGTACCACATAGAAAACACACAAAGGGTAATCGGCAAACTTCTGGTGGCAGGGAAGCGCTTAAATCTAGGGATAAGGGGACCAGGAGAGAAGCCCTCCTGGGGGGAGACAAGATCGGTTGGTACCGGGGGTAGCCATCCTGGACAGGAGTCCTGATCAATCTCCGGGGGTGAGGCCCATGTCCCCCATTGACTGTTCCACCATTACTGTTCCACTTCACTGTTCCACCTTGACTTTTCCACCATTACTGTTCCACTTCACTGTTCCACCTTGACTGTTCAGCCATCACTGTTCCACTTCACTGTTCCACCTTGACTTTGCCACCACTACTGTTCCACTTCACTGTTCCACCTTGACTGTTCTACCGTTTTTATTCCACTTCACTGTTCCACCTTGACTGTACCACCATTACTGTTCCACTTCACTGTTCCACCTTGACTGTTTTACCATTACTGTTCCACTTCACTGTTCAACTTTGACTGTTCCACCATTACTGTTCCACTTTACTGTTTCACCCTTACTATGCCACCATTACTGTTCCACTTCACTGTTTCACCTTGACTTTTCTACCATAACTGTTCCACATCACTGCTGCAGCTTGACTGTTCCACCATTACTCTTCTTCCATTGTTCCACTTCACTGTTCCACCTTGACTGTTCCACTATTACTGTTCTACTTTATTTTTCAACCTTGAATGTTCCATCATTACTGTTCTACTTCATTGTTCCACCTTGACAGTTCCACCATTACTGTTCCACCTTGACTTTTCCACCATTACTTTTCTACTTCACTGTTCCACTTTGACTCTGCGACCATTACTGTTCCACTACACTGTTCCACCCTTACTGTTGTACTTTATTGTTCCACCTTGACTTTTTTACCATTACCGTTCCACGTCACTGTTCCACTTTGACTGTGTTACCCTTACTGTTCAACTTTATTGTTCCACCTTGATTGTTCCACCGTTACTGTTCCACTTTACTGTTTCACCTTAAATGTTCCACCATTACTGTTCCAGGTCATTGTTTACCCTTGGCTGTTTCACCATTACTGTTCCACTTCACTTTTCCAACAATGAAAGTGGAAAAGTGAAGTTACCCTGAAGCTACACTGAAGCTACACTTTTCCACTTTGAATGTTCCACCATTACTGTTCCACTTTACTGTTTCACCTTGACTGTTCCACCTGTAATGTTCCACTTTACTGTTCCACCTTAAGTGTTTCACCCTTACTGTTCCACTTTACTGTTCCACCTTGACTGTTTTACCATTACTGTTCCACGTCACTGTAAACCTTGATTGTTCTACCCTTATTGTTCCAATTTACTGTTCCACCTTGAGTGTTCCACTATTATTGTTCTACTTTATTGTTCCACCTTGACTGATCTACCATTACTGTTCACCTCACTCTTCCACCTTGACTGTTCAACCATTACTGTTCCACTTCAGTGTTCCACCTTGACTGTTCCACCATTACTGTTCCACTTCACTGTTCCAACATTACTGTTCCACTTCACTATTCCTCCTTAACTCTTGCACTATTACTGTTACTATTACTTCCACCTTGACTGTTCAACCATTACTGTTCCACTTTAGTGTTTCACCTTGACTCTTTCACCATTACTGTTCCACGTAACTGTTCCACCGTTACTGTTCCACTTCACTCTTCCACCTTGACTGTTCAACCATTACTGTTCCACTTCAGTGTTCCACCTTGACTCTTTCACCATTACTGTTCCACGTAACTGTTCCACCGTTAGTGTTCCACTTCACTGTTCCACTTTACTGTTCCACCATAACTCTTCCACCAGCACTTTTCCATCATTACTGTTCTACTTCACTGTTCCACCTTGACTGTTCCAAGCGTTAATATTCCACTTCCTTGTTTCACCTTGACTGATCCACCCGTACTGTTCCACTTCACTCTTCCACCGTTACTGTTCCACTTAACTGTTCACCTTGTCTTTTCCACCATTACTGTTCTACTTTACTGGTCCACTTTGACTGTTTCACTATTACTGTTGCACTTCACTGTTTCACCTAGTCTGTTTCACTGTTTCTGTTCTACTTTACTGTTCCAGCTTGAGTGTTTCACCATTACTGTTCCACGTCACTGTTCACCCTGGACTGTTTCACCACTACTGTTCCACTTCACTGTTTCAACAATGAAAGTGGAACCGTGAAGTTTCACTGAAGCTGCGCTGAAACTACACTGTTTTACTTTGAATGTTCCACCAGTACTGTTCCACTTCACTGTTACACCTTGACTGTTCCACCGGTAATGTTCCACTTTACTGTTCCACCTTAAGTTTTTCACCCTTACTGTTCCACCTTGACTTATCCACCATTACTGTTCCACTTCTCTCTTCCACCTTGACTGTTTAACCATTACTGTTTCACTTCAGTGTTGCACCTTGACTCTTTTACCATTACTGTTCCACGTAACTGTTCCACCGTTACTGTTCCACTTCGCTGTTCCACTTCACTGTTCCACCATGACTCTTCCAGTTCACTGTTCTACCATAACCTTTCCACCTTCACTTTTCCATCATTACTGTTCCACTTCACTGTTCCACCTTGACTGTTCCACCCGTATTGTTCCACGTCACTCTTCCGCCGTTACTGTTCCACTTAACTGTTCCACCTTGTCTTTTCCACCATTACTGTTCTACTTTACTGTTCCACTTTGACTGTTTCTCCAGTACTGTTCCACGTCACTGTTTCACCTAGTCTGTTCCACTGTTAATGTTCCACGTCACTGTTCCACCTTGACTGTTTCACAATTACTGTTCCACGTCACTGTTCCACTTTTACTGGTCCACTTTTTTGTTCCACCTAGATTGTTCCAATGTTACTGTTTCACTTCACTGTTCCACCTTGACTGTTCCACCGTTTATGTTTTTCTTGACTTTTTTTACCTTGACTGTTCCACCATTACTGTTCCACTTCTTTCTTCCACCTTGACTGTTCCACCATTACTCTTCCACTTCAGTGTTTCACCTTGACTGTTCTACTATTACTGTTCCACCTTACTGTTCCACCTTGAATCCTCCACTTCACTGTTCCAATTTGACTGTTCCACCATTACTGTTCCACTTCTTTCTTCCACCTTGGCTGTTCCACCATTACTCTTCCACTTCACTGTTTCGCCTTGACTGTTCTACTATTACTGTTCCATGTTACTGTTCCACCTTGAATCTTCCACTTCACTTTTCCAGTTTGACTGTTCCACCATTACTCTTCCAGTTCACTCTTCCAGCTTGATTGTTCCACCATTACTGTTCCACTTCACTGTTTTATCTTGACTTTTCCACCATAACTTTTTAACTTTACTGTTCCACCATTACTGTTCTACTTGATTGTTCCACCTTGACTGTTCCACCATTATTTTTCTAGTTTACTTTTCCACTGTTGCTGTTCCACTTAACTGTCCCCCTTCATTGTTCCGCTTTGGCTGTACCACCTTTACTGTTCCACTTCACTGTTCCACTTGGACTGTTCCTTCATTACTGTTCCACTTCACTGTTCCACTTTGAGTGTTTCACCATCACTTTTCCACTGCACTTGTCTATCTTGACCGTTCCAACTTTAATGTTCCACTTTAGTGTTTCACCTGGACTGCTCCACCATTTCTTTTCCACTTCACTGTTCCACCTTGACTGTTCCACCGTTAATGTTTCACTTCACTGTTCCACTGTTCTATATATTAAATATTTTCACCTCAGATCCAGACTGGTGAAAATGTGTCTTCGCAGCGCCTGTAATCATAGATCCAGGCGAACTCCAAGCTGGCGACGCTATTGACTCTGCGCGTGTGCGTGGAAGACATTGACGTAATTCTGAGCTCTGCATTACATTTATATATAATACTTTTTTTTCCTTGTGAACTGAACACAATCTGGAGTGCGTATTTCGTTTTTTATATAGACGGTGCCCACCTAGACTAGCCTTTGTTATTGTGGGCATTGAGAAAATTAATTGTAAATTTGGATTCACCAATTAAAATGAAATAAATAAAAAGAGCGGTTAGGGCGCGGGACTTGTAATCCGGAATCCCTGAGTTGAAGTCCCGCCCTAACCGCTAGCTGGATGTTTTCTCTGTTGTCCCGAGTTCAGATCCTCGGCCATGCTTAGAAATAGCCAACTGGTTCGCCTCCTACCTGTTGGGATTATTAACCATATTATATTCCATTTGAAGTATTTTTTTCATTATCCTTGAAAAGCCCCATAAGGGAAGAGGATAATTATTTTATTTCATATTTAAAATTTTGCTGTAAATGGGCAAATTTATTTTTACAGCTATCATTACCTGTATTTTTGTTTTCACTGTTGTTTCGAGCGATTTTCGTATGACCTTGAAATGAAAACGCCTAAACCAAAGAAGAAACAACAAACGAACGGGTGCAAAGACTTCATGCCCGAAGAACTTTCTAGAAATCAATCGATACTTCGCTGTGAGGTCATACTGCAGCACGATTGGGCGGTCGAACAATGCCTTTTCCATATTAGGGCTTTCTTTGGTGGGTAAACGAAGAGTCCATGTTTTGATCCTTTCATCCATAGGCTGATAAAACAAATAACGAACAGTTACCGAGACCATAGATCGTTTTCACATGACGTCACGTCCGCCATATTAGTGTTCCAAAACAATGAGACGGCGGCCATGTTGGTGTCCCAAACCAGTCCTGTGGGAGTTATGCCTTTTTGTTATTTAGAATCTGTCGTGTTCCAATAAATTTGCGTCGCTGCAGGCCACGTGAGTGAAACGTGTTCTGTGATTCTGACCATGCTTGTAATTATTATTTTTTCAGGGAATGGTCCTGCCTCATAACGCCCTTCTTGTACTACACAGCGGACTTATGACCAAGAATTCTCCCGGAAATCACAGGTAAATAGTTCGGGCGCGCAGACTTAATTATGAACTCCAATAACTATCACTAAAACGATGTCATTCATGACTCGTTCTCAGTCGCCTCTCATGATTTGTGCGCGGGCGTCGAGCATCACTGGAGACCAACACGACAACGCAACACGAGGTATGGGTTGGGGGAAAGGGGGGCTAGACGGACGAAGACACACTACTCTTTTTTCCTCCTTTCCATCACCTGACATGCGTGACTTCGCGCTTTCGGTTCCCGCCAAAATTTCGGCTTATGTCCTGTAAGGGACATTTTTAGTCCAGTTTATATTGGTAGCATCCTCAGAGGCCCAGCGGCAGATAGTGGGGGCGAGGGAAAGTCTAAACCAGCGGAAAAATATGGCACGAAGAAAAGTAAAGAACGGCGAGAGGAGCCCCTGGGGACAATGTCTTACCAGACCAGTTCCAAACGGTCGCCGCCGTTCTGACTTCTGATTGGTGCCAGAAAGCTTTTGTGTTTTTCTGCCCAATCAGAAGGCAGAACGGCGGCGACCGTTTAAAACTGGTCTGGTAAGACATTGTCCCCAGGGGCTCTTCTCGCCGTTCTTTACTTTTCTTCGTGCCATATTTTTCCGGTCATTTAGACTTTCCCTCGCCCCCACTATCTGCCCCTGGGTCTCTGAGGATGTATTGGTAGCTCTCTATCAGCAAACATTAGGCCAATAACTGATAGCCCATTACTAGGCTCGTCAAATCGCCGGCGTCATAATCTTCCGATCCTCCACTTGCCAAAAACCTTCTGCGTCATCGCATTTTCTCCAAGAGCTACAGCAGACATTGACTTACTTTAGCCCGTTCCAGGCGCCGAGATAGTAGTGCAGTCGTTCAGTAAAAAGTGGGGCGAAAAACGCGCGGGGGCTGGGGAGAGAGAGGGCGGCGCCCAGATAACGCGCGTTTCATTGTGGCTCTGCTTTTTTTTTATTTACGTCCCTACTATACTATCTGACAACCTAGCACAGGCTAACATTGACTACGAACATCGTAAAGCTAATCAGCGAGAAACGTCTGAGATTATCTTCGGCCGGTACCAGGATATCACTTTGCAACATTGCAGGCGTTTTCTTAGAGAGAGCAAACGTTTCTGCTCTCTTAACCGCTATTATGAATTTCAAAAATGTCTTGCCTAGTCCCCAGGCCTCATCATTCCGCGCGGCCTATGCGTTTCGGATCACGTGGCCCGAGTAAGTTCAGACGCGTCACCGAAATGCATTGACCGAAAAGGCCTAGAAAGACGCCGCACAGGGACTAGGCGAAAAAATGTCGAAGAACTGGCGCTGTTGCTGTTTCTACTCTCCCCAATCTTCCTCTTGGTAGAATAAGTATATGTTGGAGTTCAATTTTATCTCTGGTTTAATTTTCTTGTCTTTCGTTTTTGGCAATGGTAATGTATGATAATTAGATTGAAAAAAAGAAAAGAAAATTTAACCAAGGATGAAACTGAACCACAAAATATATAAGGTGTTTAAAGTGTATAAAAAGTGTATATAAGGTATATGTAGGGGTGTATAGGTGTATATAGGTGTATGTAAGGTTTATATTGGTGTATGTAGTATATTAAGGTAAATATAAGGAGTATGTAAGGTGTCTATAAGGAGTGTATAGGTGAGTGTAGGTGTATATCGCTGCCACGGCAATTTGAACACAAAACAAAAAACGGCTTTCGCCCGCTAAAATATGTACGCCTGCATTTCATCATTTCATGGAACCTACTTTATAGGCTACGAAAACGACAGCGCTTGTTTTTATAAGATCAAAAGTCTATAATTAACACGTTCCCTCGCTTTTGTGTCACCATCCCATGCAGAATTGTTCTTAACTAGTGTTTGAACCCATAAACTTGATGCTTTCCAATTTTCTACTTTTTTAGCAGTTTTTCTCAATTGTTTGAGTCGCAGTACTCCTTGCTAAGCACTCTGCTCTTTCAGCACTCGGAAGCAGTGTATGGAGCAGTACACGTCTTCATTACCTGTGTGCGTAGTATCCTTTGAATCCAATAGATTCGGGGAAATTTCCCACCTACCCCACCCCCAACCCAGCGCTAGCACTTTGCCCTAAGTGAGGGGTTAGTGTTAACTTTGGGTTAAGAGAGGGGTAGGTGAATGGGCAGTTTCAATCAGTTTTGTGTCTAATAACCTCATGTAATTTTTACGAAAAAAAATATATTCTCCCATGCTTGGAGACATATATTTATTATATTTTAAGCAACAGTAAACGAACCAGAAGGAAAGCTGAAAAGTGGCTTGTGACACGTATCTTAAAAGGAATGCTTCGGTTCAGAAGTGAAGAATTATGAATTTACCATTTTTGTTGTGTTTTAAACCTTAACTACATGTCTGAGATCTTTTATCAAGTCTGTTACAAATCTGTGGTGAGAACGAGGAAACGGAACAGGCCAAGGATGACAGTCAAGCGAACAGGACAAAAATCAAAACAAATGAATTAATACAAAGTGCACAACGGATGTCACGGTGGGTTCAAATCAGTAATTGGATATCAAAACGCAGATGTATATTAACAGTACAAAGTACACTCTATTTTTTATATATTAAGAATGTTGTTTTTTCGGGCTAGGCTGAATATTCGTATTTTTCTGCCGATTTTAGCCTGAAAATATTCTTGTATTATTCTTGAATCATAACTAAAAAAGAAAGGTTTGTTCCTTTTCGAAATCTCAGTCTCAAGTTTATTCCTAAAATATTCTTATAATTTTACAAATTTCAGCCTTGATGTTCTTACAAAATATATTCGTTTAGAGAAAAAAGAGTACAGTGTACCTTAATTTGATGTTCCTTCCTTAAGTCAAACAGCGGCCATTTGAACATTACTTTTCCCGAAGCGGTCGATTGCTATGTTTCTCTCTAGATTTTTTTAGTTGTTCGAGCGGTCTAAAAAGGAGGGTACAAGGGGTAAATTGAAACAGTCATTACTTTAGCTGGCAAAGGCGCTTCCTGTAAGTTCTTTTAAATTTCATAGCATAATTTAAGGACTGATTACACCATAATCTTTTCTCTTGTATGGAATAATTTGCTCTTGCTTAATCATTTTAACAAATCACACAGTCGCTGATTTTTTTTATTGCTCTCCCTCTCAGACTGTACCAAGAAATATCTTCACACAAGAATACGCTTTCCAAGGTAATTACTGTATTTTTTTTGTTAATGTTGTTGTTATTATTATAGAGTTGTGAGCGTTAACCTGAGTTTTCTAGATTATCGATCGTTTATTACACTTTTTCTTTCCTTGCCCACCCACCCCCTCCCCCTCTTATTTTTCATTTTTGGTCGTTCGCGCTTCTCTCGCTTGACTAAAAGGAAACCAAATTGACTCATAAGCAGGGTAACTTTGTTGAGGTAGCTTTACTTGTAAGTTGACCGCTTTCTTTTGTACTTGCAGTACTCGCCTTATTTGATTGCTGATTACATCCACGGAGTTCAGACAGTGGCTCTTCCTTCTGTTATCAGGGTACCGTCCCTTTGAACAAACGTTTTCACCACTAAGAATATTCATTATTGGCCTTTCAATTGAGTACTTGTTAATAGCTGATTCCGAAGTTTTGGACTGCATCTCGAAGTCTTCCTCAGCGATTACTAAACTCAGTGTTGCCTCGTAAATCTTGTATTTAGTCATCTGACAACGGGTTGTTAAAAATCGCTGGTAGCTCGTAACCCTTACCGCCATTTTGGTTTGGACCCAGGAGTCTGTCGTGGATGGCTTCATTTTTCCTTTTAATTTCCATAATCTCCTTGTCATTCAAAATTCCAGCAGTTTTTGGTTAAATAGTAAAGAAGAAAAGCATGATTTTTTTGGACCAGTTTCATGGTTGCAACGGGTGTTGCTGTACAATGATTGGTCGTCGACATGTTTTTACTTTGTTTAGTTGTTGTTGTTGTTGTTGTTGTATTTTTCTGGTATTGCTCATGTTTTATCCATTCTTTTATAGGATTCTCTTACACCTGGAGTGTATTGCCTTTTAGACATGTGCGGCGAGCATGAACTATCGCTTATGCACGCTGTGTTGGATAAAGGATCGCGGGAGCTCTTTCATTCTCTGCATGCGGACTATACCAAGTATCACAAGTTTAAGGGGAAAGTTTGATGAACATCGACTACGACAAATCATAAGCTTTGTTTTAATTGTGGATAACAAGAGCTTCCTCTTCGAGGTAACCGCTAGTGATCGGTAGGCGCGACATTCCATGGTTTTCTTCTCTTCTCCATTCTGTAGTGAAATGTGGGACCGGGGCAGAAATTCGTGAGTGCTCGTCTTCGGCTCAGTCGGTTAATTTGAGTCGGAAAGTCTTCGGGTGTCGTGACAACAATTTACCTATGACTAGACTCCTTTTCAAAGTGATGAAAAGCGAGGAAAGCGGCGGTACATAGTTCAAGGTAGCGCTGGTAGCTATGACTTCAGACTTAAGGACGAACAGAAGATCACAAGAGGAAAACCTTCTCATTTTACTTTTCGGCGCTTTATGATCGTCAGTTGAAAAATTTGGATCAAACAAGGCCCCAGTCAAGCCTATTTATAATTAAAGATCGACAATGACAGTGAAATAAAAGCCTATCAGCAAGCAAGTGAAATTACTGCTTTGAAATACCTGACGAATGTCATATTGCCTCATAAAATTGTAAGGGAATCCGGACTCCGGGTGTCGAGAAATTTTTACTTGTGGAATCCGA